TGCCAGATGCGACTAGCTGACTCCCAGCTTTCAACTATAAAAACCTGCCACAAACTTTTCATTTTGATCCACTTTTCTCTCGACCGAGAGCCGAATTCATTAAAGCTTAGTTTGATCATCGATTTCGATAAGAAAACCACAAATATAGATTCAGTTAACTCAACTGTTGCAGATATAGACAGAGATAATCATAGAGATATTTATACAGATAGACAAATCAGAGCCAAATACAAATATATACAGATACAGATACAGATACAGAAACAGATACAGATACAGATACAGAAACAGAAACAGATACAGATACAGAAACAGATACAGATACAGATACAGATACAGATACAGATACAGATACAGATACAGATACAGATACAGATACAGATACAGATACAGATACAGATACAGATACAGATACAGATACAGATACAGATACAGATACAGATACAGATACAGATAAGATACAGATACAGATACAGATACAGATACAGATACAGATACAGATACAGATACAGATACAGATACAGATACAGATACAGATACAGATACAGATACAGATACAGATACAGATACAGATACAGATACAGATACAGATACAGATACAGATACAGATACAGATACAGATACAGATACAGATACAGATACAGATACAGATACAGATACAGAACAGATACAGATACAGATACAGATACAGATACAGATACAGATACAGATACAGATACAGATACAGATACAGATACAGATACAGATACAGATACAGATACAGATACAGATACAGATACAGATACAGATACAGATACAGATACAGATACAGATACAGATACAGATACAGATACAGATACAGATACAGATACAGATACAGATACAGATACAGATACAGATACAGATACAGATACAGATACAGATACAGAAACAGATACAGATACAGATACAGATACAGATACAGATACAGATACATATACAGATACAGATACAGATACGGATACAGATACAGATACAGATACAGATACACACACATATAGCTACATATCCAGACAGTCAGTCTGTTGCTAGTCCGTGCAGAGACAGATATAAATATACCCTGTAATCATAGGCTAAGTACCCAACACATTCGAATCGTTATTGATGCCTCGAACCCCTTTCATGATTACAGAGCATTCTCGGAAGGGCAGTCTAAGTTGGTGTGATAGTAGCTGCTTTTGATCACTGCCTCTTCGTAGCGATTAAGCGGCAACTTAACCACAGCCTTTGGCTGCGTATGCAGTGCCAGGAGCAGCTGTGGCCACGCCCACTAGGCAATTGCATTGTTCAATGTGTGTGTTGCTGATTGTGTCTGTTGTGTTTGTCTGTTGCGTGTTCAGGTTCGGATCGGAGCGAAGCGGAGTTGGAGATCGCTTATGGCACACCCACATGCGTTTTCACCTAATCAATCGCAATGCTCAATCAATGAGCCGACACGTTCGGAGCCACAAGTGGAAGCTGTCTGTCTTCGATCTGTGAGCCGGGCCAAGCCAGCTGGAAGGCAATTTATATGCGCGCTAATCATATGAAATAGATCAAATTTCTATTTGTCGGGGCAGCCGGGCAGCGGAGCGATCTGCGCTCATATGGATGGGAGTTGAGCGCATTAAGGCAATTTCACTTGCCTCGCTGTGGCATGCAACATGACGTGTGTGAGCGTGTGTATGTCTGTGTGGGTTGCCATCTTATAAGCAGGCAGTTAAAATGTTTTAATTTTATTTTCTTTGACTGCGATAGCGGCTTTCGGCTTTTGTCGCACTCTCACCGCCTAATCTATGAACATACAGATGTGGGAATTGGAATTGGAAGTGGAATTGGAAATGGAATTGGTTAAAGATGTTGGCCAGAGGATTGGGGGTCGTTTACTGTGGCTGATTGGAAGTTGCCATGCCGCACAGCCTTAGCTTCAGCAGCAGCAGCAGCATCAGCAGCAGCTTCGGCCTCGGTCGCGGCACGCTAATGATGATTACCCACTTTTACCCAGGCGCTTGTGCCTGACATGGTGTACACATAAAAATCAAAAGCGGTTTAACGCGTTTCTCGTTCGAGCAACTCTTTTTCATTGCAATTCAATTAAAAACGCTTAGCAGTTGCTACATTGAGTCCCTGGTCGCCAAGCAGATCGCCAAGCAGATCTCTCGCTGCAAGTCGTCGCACCCAAAAGAAAGCCACTTGTTCCGAGGCCGTCATATATCAGTTTCTCATGTTGTTATTGTTGCTTTTACTACTTGTAGTAGCAACATTGACTCCCTGCCTGCCTGTCTGCCTGACCGTGGGCGTGGCAGTTGCTTCTTCCTTTTGATTTAATGGCACACAGCGATCGACTTCGATGCATCTCGGCCTTGGCCACATGCTCATTGCAGACTAGTTGGCTGGCCAATGGGGCGAGCAGGAGGCGAACAGAAGGCGAGCTGCCTGCCACAGCTCTATAAAAGCGATTTCGATTTTTGCACCTTGAATTGCTCTCAGGATTTCACCAAAAACAAAATATATATATATATATATACATATATATATGTATATATATATATATATATATGTATCAAAATTTATTAAAAGATAATTCAAGCTTGAACAGAAGCTGATATACCCTACTTTAATATAAATGTATGGGTATACTTAGAAAGCTAAACTATTTTTATTGCCAGTCATACAAATAATAGTATTTATTTTAGTATTTTTTCTAAACAATTCATAACTTTTTTCTTTTTTTGTTTAAAGGATTTTTCATAGATATTTTTAACATACTTAATAGTATTCTAATTTTGTATAAATATATATATATATATATATATATATATATCTTCTATTTGTCAGATAAATTAATAATAAAATGGGGAATTTTATATAAATATCTGTTATATATTCAGGATATTCTAAAACATTTTCTTAAATTTATATATCAATTATTATTAGTTTTTAGTATTTTTTCAAACAAATTTTTTCGGCTTATTTGTTCTATAAATTTTCTTCAGGATTCATCAAAACTCTAAATTTTTCTTGATATATATCCCAACTTATATAGCAGATTGTGATCTAAAATATCATAAGAAAAAGGAACGAAATAAAATAAAATATGAAGAGAAACAAACTACGATAGAAATTGTATATACCGTAAGCCAGCCCATGTGAAGGGGTATGTTAACGATGGCATCGATAAATACACTGTGCCAAAAAAAAGAGTATGTTCATGCAACCAGTCGCCAGGCGGCACGACCATCGACGAAGTTAATGGCAAATTATTAAGTGTGCTCGTATAAAACTTTTTATTTTTATTATTATTATTATATTTTGGCTTTTTTTGGGCATTTATTTTTTTTTTTTTGTTTTCTTTTAGTTTTTCCATGAGTGAAAAGTGAAATTCCACTGTTGCTTTTTGTCGAAGAGGCGGGGCCTTTGGACCAATAGCATGTCAGCAGGTTAGCAGGGATTTGTCAAAATAGCTGGTGAAATCTCTCAGATTGCAATTGCCAGTTGTTGTTGCTGCTGCCGTCTCAGTTGTTGATAGTGTTATTGTTGCTTGTGCACAAAACGTGCTGCAAATGCATTTCAGTGCAGCGTCTATGGAGCCAAAAAATAATCACAATTCGCTGACCAAGGCCGAAACTTTAATTTACGCTCTGGCATTTACAGCAATAATTGCCCAGGTCGGCAAGCTAAGACACCTGTGCATATCAATGGAGAGCTTAGCACGCATGTACAAATTATTGTTGAAACGATATCATTTCAATTTTGTGTTTGCTAAAACTTGAACAAAAATATCTAAAATACTGAATATATATATACTGAAAACTTAAAGTATACAGAGCTTCCATAGAGCACAAGCGCATATTATGTTACAATGAGTTTTCCAAGGGAAATATCTAATAAAAGCAAACCTTTTACTGTGCCTGCTCTACAATAAACTCAGATTTTACAAAAAAAAAAAAAAAAAACAACTGTTAAACTGTTTTTACCAAAAAAAAGCGAAAAAACATCTCAAATTAATTGAGGAAACGTGTAGCGCACATCATTTGATAAGCTCGTAATCATTGAGTTTAACAGCAACAATAACAACAAAATAAAGGGCAAAAAAGAAGCACTAAAAAATGACAAAATACGAAAATAAAACCTTATGACATTTCCCACTTAGAAGCAACAGCAAGCAAGATGCGATAAGATAGAAGCAATTAAGGTTGCTTGCGGCGCATCTTAAGACGCAATTAAGCAATTAATCTACGTGTACTTGGCCACAAGAGCAGGTAGTCGCCTTATGAAAAAATTAAGAGGAAAACTTCTAAGACATTTGGCCTTAACTGAACTGGTTCATAACGCCAGCATTTCGAAAGTCAGTTGGAAAATGTGTGCCAGCAACAGAATTGTATAAATATCGACACCTTTCGGCGGCAACTGCCGACTAAATTTAAGCATTTCCGTTTCCGTGGCCAAAAGCAGCAGCAACAACAACTAAAACTAAAACAACACAGCTGTACGATTATAGGCATATAGAATAATTTTTTTTTGCAGATTTCACTCGCTCTGACGGCCAAGCTAAATGCCAAGTTTTTCAATTTTGCAGCAGCTCAGCGCGTGTGTGTGGTTGGAAAACTTGTAGAATGCATAGAAACGACGACGGCTTTTCAAAGTGCTCAATGCTATATCAATAACAGCAGCAGTCGCCGCAGCCACAGCCGCAGCCGCCTGCTGCACCTGTCTAAGCCAAAAAAAAAAATATATATATATACGAACAGGCGGCAGCAACAACAACATGCACTGGCCTGGCCAGGGCCAACAACAACGACGGCGCTGCGCCCAAAAACCCAACAACTTTTAATTTCAACACATTCCAGCCAGCGACTTGGCAGCGACAGCGGCAGCAACTCTGTACGTGTGACTCGACTTTCTTTGCGGCAGCTTACAGCAACAATAACAAAACCAACAACAACACACACACATACGCTGGCTCTGCCTGTGTCTGATGTATGTGTGTGCATACCTGTCCAGCAGTTAGCCAGGTAGGCAGCCGCAGCAGCGCCAGCCGCTCGAGCTGAAGTCAGTCAATAGCAGACGGCCAAAGCGTTGAGACGTCGTCAGTTGCGGGACGCGTAAAACGTGCTTAACGAACAAAAATATAAAACTGAAAAGCCAAGCGAACAACGGAGTTAACATTTGCCAACAACAACAGCAACAACATAGAAGCTGCTCTTTTTATATTTTTTTTTGCTGTGCGCTGTGCTGAGCAAGCGAAGGTGTGTGAATAGTGTAAACTGAAGAGAGCCAGAGAGAGAGAGAGAGAGAGTAAGAGAGCGAGCGCGCGCGAGGGAGCGTGCTCTCGCGCTCTTGCAATTACCGTTAATCAAATAAGTTTTGTAGAAATTTAAACGCCGTGTGTATTTGTATGTGTCTGTATGTGTGTGTGTATTAAACGGTTCATTGATCGAGTTCAGCTAAAATGGAGCAAATGCCTGTAACAAAACAACAACAACAACGGCAAAGGCAGCCAAACAAACGCAATGAGAGTCCGAAAACAACAAAATAAAACAGTGCAAGTGCCAGAGTGTATGTGTATGAGTGTGTGTGTGTGTGTGAGTGTGTGCCACCAATTTGCTTCATTTGCGGCGTCTTCGTCAAATGCGCTTAACCCATTTTAATGAGAACACTTTGTGTGTGCGCGCCAAGCAAAATCCAATAAGCGAACTGAGGAGAATGCCACAAGAATGGCCGAAAGGGGGCGCTATAGCAATAACAATAACAACAAACAGTCGCGACTGCGCCGAAGAAAGCAAAGAAACGTGAATGAATGGATTACATACAGATGTGCACTGAATGTTTCATGGCTGGAAATGTTTTTGGGCACAGCTAATTTTAGCAGAGAGTTGAAGGAAACTCTTGTAACGAATGTGTTATTGGAGCCCAAAATATCTTCGAGTGCAGCTAATTTTAGCAGAGCGTCCAAAAGAACAAAGCGAAAAGTAACAGGTGTTAAGTTTGTAGCAACAGCTAAGGCATTCGTTCTTTATCATTCAATGATAAATGCATACATATATATCTTTTTAGAGTACTTAATTTGTTATCGGCAAATACTTGCTGGCTGTTTCTCTACCTTCTAAATGACACTTGAATCTGAAGAATTTTCAAGCTGGGCATTCGGTAGTCTAATAGCTTACAACTCTCCTCAGGCAGGAGCAGACACTAATAATGATATATACTATATCATAATAAATAATATGATCTTATAATAAATAACTACGTAATACTTTGTGAGGCAAATGCCCGTTTCGCATGTCATTAAGAAACATTAGATCAGATTGTGTGTTTATCTGGAGAAATTCAACAAATTGACTACACTCAGGCACGGACATTGTGCAGCCGAAGTATATGCAAAACAATTGGAATTTCATGTATTCCACTCACGAACAATATAAGCACGAATGCATGAATTCCGTTTTTTTTTTATCGGCAAATAAACGCAAATGACGACGAAATCAAAATGAATGAAGTAAAAGTGCTGTAGTGGGGTGAGCTCGACTAGAAGATACACTAAGAAGTCAACATGAGAAGTTGTGAAACTTCAGCTAGCTGTGAAAGTCATTCTAATATGAACAAAAGGTTAATTGAGATCGATTTATTGCTATCGATCGATGGAAGTAAAATAAAAAACGTTTCAGATCTAGATCCAAATCTAAAACTCATTCTAATATGATAAGATAATTGACATGAATTTTGACAAGACTTATCGATATATGTATTAAAGAGTGAAAGAAGTTATCGATATATATAGATGAAATTTGAAATAAATAACGTTTTTAGAGGAACGTAAAGGCGTTATCATTTATTTTAAGCTCTCAGCCTATAGAGACGCTTACATCATAGAAAAACTCTCAGATCTTGAAGCAAATAGAATTTTGAAAAACTCATTATAGAACATACGTGCAATATACCCGTTCCGCTACAGTGTATACATATCAAACGGATGACATCAATTAAATTTTGAACAAGTTCTCAGTGAATCGCATGCAAATGACACTTGAATACCAAATGGCGATATGAAAGAGCAGTCAGAAACACACCAAATCACAGAAGTTATATACTATATATATTTATATATTGCTTAAGACGAGTTCTGTGAACAACTTGAAACGGAGTTGAGGGGCCAAATGCTATATCAGATGATACGCTGACACCCGACACTTGAACAATTTCAATATCGATATCAAGAATGAGTCACATTCGATACAAGTTTTCAGCCTGTGGCTCGATTCCAATTTGTTAGCCATTTTTCAAAAGCAATTTGTTCCCGCACTTACGGTGTTTCTCTTTGTTTTATTTATTTTTTTTTTTTTTTTGAGTTTTTGTTTCCGATTCGATGTTAACTTGAACACTAATGCGAATGTCCATTAGCTTTGCGTTATTAACGCATTTTAATCAAAGGCCAACAAAGTTAATTCATACTAAAAATAGTGACATGATGCATAATCCACTCCTCCAAATAAAACGAAAGTCAGCGAAGCAGCTCCGAAATCTTAAGCGAAGATATATGTATAAAAAGATTTTTATACATGACTATTATCGCTTTATTAGCGCACAAATTCAGGGAATAAAAAACATTTCTTGAGCTATAATTTTATGCCTGAATAACTAAACTTTGCTCAACTCAATTTTAATTTATTTTAATTTAACAAACTATATTTTAATTATATATATTAAAAAATATTATATATATTTAAAAAAAATCGGATAAATAAGCTTATTATCTGAGAGCTCTCTTGAGCTTAAAGATTCTTAGTTGTGCAACTCGTGTTGAAACTAAAAACAGATTATAAGCGAGGTGCAGTATATAATGTATTCATATATATATATAGATATATATATATATACTCCAGCTGAACGCCTACTTGTAGAACTTTTAAGCATTGCCAGCGTGTAGGCTCAGGGCCACGCTCAAGTTCAGCCTTTAGCTAAAATATATGAAGGCAAAAAACAACAAGTAGAAACGTTGCAGTTGCAATACGACATGAAAGAACCAGCCTATTTAGTGAGTGTGCACTGTATGTATTTAAAACTCTTAAGCTAATCAAAATCTGGCCTAATTTCTAGTGATATAAAAGTTATTTTCAAAGCCAAAGTGAAAAGTTGAGCAGAGTATTGGGTTCACATTAGATAATATATAGTAAATATATAAAAATAAAAATAAAATATAAAATGATTTAAGATTATATTTATTATATATAAAAACGTCGAAGCTATTTTAATCTGCAAACAATGTAAACAAACTCAATACTAAAAAATAAATTTAAGAAAAAATTCAAAAATAAAAGATATTCATTAGAAAAACAGTTAAATTTTAAATTATTAAACTGAAAGCTTCTGGAATTAGTCGATGCTTTTTCCGCTCTTAGGTCAGCTTTTTTTGTTAAGTATTAAGCGGTGTGTGTGTGCGTGGTTGTTTTCTTCTAGCAAAATAAATTTAAAAACATTTTTTGAGGTTAATAATTTCGTTTGTTTAGCAGCTTTTGTGTTGTTGTTGCGGCTGCGGCTGCGGCTGCTTTTGTGTCATATGTAAATTTTAAAGGCACACACACATTATGCCTGCCATATAACATTGATAAATATCTATAGGCGTCTTTGTGCGTGTGTGTGTGTGTGTACAAAATATATTCAGTTAAAAGCAAGGAGAAGAAGAAGAAGTAGCAACAACAAGCAGTAAAACAGATAAAATAAAAACAAGATTCTTTTGGCCTACGCAAGACGTCAACGTCAACGTCGCACAACAAGTTGTACAGGCTCATCGATTATGAATATTATTGAGAAGATATACGAGTATATATGCGACGAGTCAGGCATGTGTACAACGTGAATGCCGTTGCCTGTTGTTGCCCACTTTCCTATAGCACCAGTTTGGTTATTTTTTTTTTTTTTTCTCATTTATGCATATGCCAGGCAGCATCAGCATAGCCATTATGACACAACAGCTAGCTAGCAGCTCTGGAGCTGGGAATTCGAAATTGGAAATTGGAAATTGTTGTCTAAAAATGTGCCGTTAGAGGAACGCATATGAGCATAAATATTAAGCATTCCAGTTAGCTTATGCGGCGACTGCGTTCCATTCCCAATCAGTTCCAATTGGATTTAATGTTTACTGGCGAAATAAATCCACTTGGCACTAAGTCTTCAGTTTATTGCGCGCTCTTCGCGCTTTCTGCTGGATAATCAGCCCCTTAGCATCGCGAATGCCATAATTAAGACACACTTGACTGTTCAACTCCAAGAGCACTCATTCTAACACTATTATCAGGCTCTTAGCTGCAATTATCTAACATTTTATGTCATCTCATTTTCTCACTTGTGCTTAGAAAACTGAAGTCTGTTAACTATTTGCTGACTGCCAGCTGTTATTGCTATTTGTTTAAGCAAGCTTATGCAAGTCTCGAGAGTGCTTTCTACTTTACTACTATGAAGAATTTCAATAATATTTAAATGATTTTTCAATATACATCAACTATAGAGTTTCACGGGAAAAACTTGTATTTTTCGTGACACCTGATTGAAAATAAAGAAAGTCTATTCGAAGGGCAAGATATGTTGACAGAAATGAATAAATGTGTGCTTGAAATATATTACAATATAACCCGTCGTTCATCTATGTATAAGTCCCCCTACGTAAGCCTAAGAATTTCCGTAGACTTACATTCTCTCAGCTACTTAAGAGAGAAGATCAGTTATCTGGATCCCTGAAACTCAAGTTGAACATTTTCTTATTGCAGATGCTGAGAAGTACTTGGTAAGCGTCTGGGCAGCCATAAATTGAAGTCAACTGCTTAATCTAAATTGATCACTGAAGAAGAAGAGGTAGTAGACGTAGCAGAAGCAGAAGAAGAAGAAGAAGAAGATGGCGCTACGTTTGCGTCGGGACGTACAGAAGGCCTCCTACTATGTGTGGTTCCTGGGCGCCGAAGAGGCGAAGGGATTGCGGGGCGCCCGCGTCATTAACTCAGTGCTGCCGTATCTGGTGGACAGATCACGCGGCCAGGAGCCGCTCAAGGTGACGCTCCAGGTCTCGCACAAGGGCATCAAAATCGTGCAGGTAAGTGCTGAGCATATGCCACACCCCAGGCACACACACTCTACAAAACATTCCTCCATGTTGTTGCTTGTCGTTAACAGGGCTCGTCGAAGCATTTAATACCACACAGTGCCATAACCAGCTCCGTGCAAACCGATGACATCGTCGCCTGTGTGCTGCTCCTCTACAATCCGGCCACCAAATGCCCCTTGCATGTGCACGCCTATCGTTGCGACTCGGAGACAACGGCCGAGGCGTTGCACCTACAACTGCAAATCCTAATCAATCGGCCCGACAATCAGAAGCGCTTTGAGGAGCTCGAGACCAGGTCAGTTACCAGCTGAATATGACTATTCAAATCACAAAAGCTCCTGATTTACTCATTGATATGGAAAAGCTCATAGTGCGCTAACCAATTCACATGAATCAAAAAAGCTCCTTACTTACTTTTTAATTAAGTTAGAGAAGCTCGTGTTGTGCTATCCGATTCGATAGAACTAGAGGCATGCTGAGGAGACCGCAAAAGCTCGTGAATGCAGAATCAAAATCGAAATTTTCTTTTCAAATTAGAAAAGCTCATCAAGTTTATGTATAATATACAAAAGCTCATAATATCACCAAAGATCGTGATTTACTTTTATATTCACAAAAGCTCGTGAGAATCCTATAGAGATTACTTGATGTTAAACCAGAAATCAGAGACTCTTCTCGCACTTCCAGTCTTGCTGATGCTATGTTGTGCGAATTAGGCTCTACTTCAGAGATCTCATAGAAACGGTGTGTGGTATGCGGTTCCATTGAAGCAGGCATTTGATTTGGAGCATCATAAACATATTTAAAGACATAAAGACATTTATATATATATATATATATATATATATATATATATATATATGTGCAAGTGGTTCTGGAGTTCGTGGGAAAGTCAGCTGCAAGTGCAGTGGCGTCTCGGTGTCATTATCATGAGTAGCAAACGAAACGATCTGCCGCAACAGGCCGACATCGGATAATGGATTGTCTAAATGTCTAAATGTCTAAGTGGGCAGAGTTGGCTGCTTGGCTGCCTCTTGTTTGCGGGCTGCTTGCTGCTTGCTGCTTGCTGCTTGCCACTTTGCTTCCTGCTTGTCGGGCCGTAATTAATTTCAGCTTTGCGGTAAATTGCAGAAGATCCCCACATAGCCGAAATGTGAAGATGCCATGAGAAACGGTTTGCGAGGCAACTGAACTCTGTGCGCCTCGACGCTGCTCGATGGGTGGCAGAAGTTGAACCTGAGCAAAGATCAAAGCGTTTAACATGTGCAAAGTTCTATATATATCTAGCTACCATTTTCTATTCACAAATCTGCAAGCTGAGAAAATCGTGTTGATGCTGCGAAACATATAATAGCACCAGACCGACTAACTAAACTTAAGGAGCTTAAATAGGTATCTTGTAGTAGTAGTAGTAGACCTTGACAATGACCTTGACAATTAAAATTTAAATTTAAATTAGAAAACAAATTCAAAATAAAATAAAAAATTAATTAAAAATTAAATTAAAACTTACATTAAAATTTAAATTAAAAACTAGTTTACAAATTAAATTTAGTTAACATTTTTGAAAGCAGTATTTTTTTATATAAAAAAAAATTCGTATCACATTTGCAGTAAAAAAAAGTCTCACTGTGTTGCTATTGCTATTGTTCATAAAAATAGTAGTGCGACTAAGGCCAAATCATATTAAATGAGCTGAATAAGCAAAATATATTTAATATTTTTAAATTCATATTATTGGATCATTATTTATATCCTTAAGAAGCAGTTTATACTATATATATAATATTACATTAATATATAATAATTGTTTTATAATATTCAAAAAGTCTTTTTGGAAGACAGAAATTTAGTAGAGTTTGGCATAAGCATAACGTTAAACTGAGTATAAGACTGAACGTACTTTGCTCATTCTTGTTGAAAATATTCACTGGAAAGAAATACAAGGGAAAGAAATACTGGAAAGATATAGAGGGAAACTCTTAGAATAAGCTTCTTAAGTCTGTCTCTTCTTCTATTTCGAATCATTTGGATATTCTGCTGCGAACGCTATTTACTTTTAGTTTTAGCCTTTCTCTGGCTCTGAATACTTTTGCCTGGCATATATAAAATCATATGTATATAGTATATATAAAAACTGTATTAAATTGATCTCGATATTTTATGGAGTTGGCTAACACTCTGAACTGAAATACAATTAGGCAGAGCCATGCTTCAAGCCATAAGCCGAGCCAATAAACCTTGCTTTCTACTAGCTTGTAGCTTTGTTTAGAGACTTTGAATCTGATCAGTAGATGATTAGATATATGCTTAGATATATGCTTGGATATATGCTTGTGCTGCTCTCACTTCTCCCGTTCTCTGTTTCTTGCAGATTGGGCATTTTGCCACCGCTGCCCGCTGGCGGGCCTCTGGGTCACAATGGAGGCAGCAGCAGCAGCAGCCACAGCGGCGGCGACAAGCGCCACGATTCGGCACACAAGTCGTCGCATCATCAGTCACAACAGCAGCAGCAGCAGCTGCACTCGAGCGGCGGCTACTCACAGCAGCAGCAGCGCCGCCATGAGACATCGCCGAAGCGCTTCAGCAGCTCCTTGGGCAGCGACACGGGCAACAGTACACGGGAGTCCGAGTGCAGCGAGGAGCACGGCCTAGCCGGCTCGCCCGTCTCCCGCTCGCCGCCACACGGCGGCAACAACAGCAAGCACCATTCGTCACATCATGGCGCGCATCATTCGCATGGCCATCCACATGGCCATCCGCCACTGACGCCGCAGCAGAACAGCGATCTGTTCGACTCGCTGGCCGCCGAGCTGCGCGCCAAGCTGAACGGCAATGGGCCGCCGTTGCTGCTGCCGCCGCGCGACTACGACACGGTGCATCGCTCCAAGGGTAATCTAACGGCGATTGAGCTGCGACGCTGTCGCAATGCTCTCATTGTGGGCGGCTCGGGCACGCCCAAAGGTCAGGTGGCACCTGCCACAGGAGCAGCTACAGCCAGCGCTGTGCCCGCCACAACGGCCAATGGCAAACAGGTCTCATCGCGCGGCTCCTCGGGCATTGGCTCGGATCTGGCGCCCAGTCCGGAGCGACAGGAGCTGAACAGCTCAAGTGGTATGTTGGCTATAGATCTGCGTATATACAGTGAACACTGCCACACTGTCAGGCTGGCCATTAGCAGAGATTTCACTGTATCTCACTGAAGACGAGCCCAAGGCAGCTGTCCACTCAATGGCACACTTCACTGTATACATGGCTAGGGATATGGATATATACGTTCCCTAGCCACATCCCTCTCCATATCCCTATCCATATATAACATATCTAATATCCTTTTGCCCGCAGACGATGAACACTGGTCGAACGAGGCGGACAATTCGGTGATTGCCTTGAAGCCGTCACAAATTGCGCTCTCGCATCATGCGCAGCTGAAGCGGAAGAGCGCGGTGCAGCCGCCGGAGGATAGCTATCTGCGGGATCTGCCGGCCAAGCCGTACGTGCCCAGGCAGAGCGAACGCGTCAAGACGCCGGCGGCGGCAGCGGCAGCGAGCAACAGCAAGTCCTGGTCGCGCGAGGATGAGATCAAGCCGATCATCATGCGACCCGCTGACTATGATGCGAAATTCAATCGGGTGATGCAGCTGGAGCCGCAGCCGGCCAAGCACGAGGCAGCTGCCAAGCTGCGCGACACAGACAAATACAACGAGATCAATCGCTTGCTCAACAAGAAGCTCTCTGGCCACGACAGGGAGGGACGGCTCAAGCAGCGTTCGCTGCACGATGACGATCTGGACGACTTCGACGACTCGGATCCGTGCAGTGAGCCGCAGCAGAAGCCGCTGCCCGTCGCCAGCTATCGCAAGGAGAATCTGACGGATAAGCAAAAGTTCATGGAATATGCGTCCAAGAAGCAGCAGCTCAAGTCCTATGCGGCCGAGGAGGCGCAACGCTATGGCGGCAGTCGCCATCGCTATGTGGATCCCGCCGAGCTGCCGTTCGAGCAGCTGCCGCCGGTGCAGCCGCTGCATCCGGTGCCGGGGCACAATAAGTATGCCGCCGTGCATCGCGGAGCGGAGCAGACGCGCAGCAGCAACAGCGTCGGCGGCGGCAGCAGCAGCCACAACAACAACAGCAGCAACAACCCAGAGCGACTTAGGGAGCGCCATGACAGAGACAGAGAGCGCGATAGAGAGAGGGAGCGCGACAGAGATCGCGAGCATTCCAGGGATCGCAATCCGTATCGCGAGGCAGAGAGCCTGCCCTACATACAGAGCATGGAGAAGATGATGAAGTCGACGGGCATGCGGTACGGCGAGGAGCAGCCGCGCAAGCCCAGCAGTCGCGATGGCCGCGACTACGTCCGGGAGTATCCGACTGCAGCCAGCAGTCAGGTGTCGCCGCGCGATCGCTTCCACGATGCCAAGGACAAGTTCCGGGCCATGGAGCGCACCAGCGGCAGTCGCTACGACCTGGACGAGCGCGACAGCGGCAACGGTGCCGCAGCGGTGGCATCCACGGGCGATTACCGATCATCGTCGCGTCGGCGTCGCGGCTCTGTGGAGCCGCCCAGCTACGAGCAGTGGAGCGACGAGGAGGAGGAGCCAGAGCAGCAGCTGCCAGTGCAGCAGCCGGAGCCAATGATGAGCCGTTCGCGTGCTCGCTCGCGGGAACACTGGGAGCAGGAGCAGCAGCAGCACGGAAGCAGCAACATGCGTCATGGCCAGGAGCGGGAGCGACGCGAACGTGACTATCCCATGCGACGCGGCGACGATATGCGAGAGCCACACGATGCCTATCGGCAGGAACGTGAGAGGGAGAGGGAGCGGGAGCGGGAGAGGGAGAGAGAGAGGGAAAGAGAGAGGGAGAGGGAGAGGGACAGGGAGAGGGAGAGAGAACGTGACCGTGAACGGGAACGAGAGCGGGAGCGTCATCAGTCGCAGTCGCGCCATCAGCTGCGCGCGCGTTCGCGCGAATATCTGCAGCCGGCGGAGTCGGTGCCGCCGGTAGCCAAGTCCAGTTCGTCGCGCTTGGCACATCATGCCGAGCGTTATCCATCGCCGGCGCCAACGCCGAACAGCGGCAACAGCGCCACCTCCAGCTCTGGCAAGCCGCTGGCCAGCATGCCCAAGGGCTATCGGCACAGCTATGCGGAGCCCGTGTTCGCGCGCTCCGGCGGACGCGTGGGACTCGCCGCAGTCAATCCCTACTGATAGGAACCAACAGCAACAACAATATCACTGCAAAATGAACATACTCAATAACTGTACATTACACACACACACGCCACACACACACACACACGTGGATGAATCCCCCTGCGGGGACGATCAGCAGCCACGATCCAAGCGCCACAAAGCTGCTGGGCACCAAGTGCTTCGGCGGTCAGCGCCTGTAATTATGTGCCTTCAAAATATGTTTTATATCAGTGCAGATGCATGTGTATACACATGCACATACATACATACATACATAATGTATCTCTATGACTATATAATGCATGTATATTTTTTATTTAGCTAAAAACGAAACGCGAACAATCACAGTTGATATATGCATTTTTTTTCGTAGCCTTAAGTCGTGCGGTTGGTTGGTATATAAATATATTATATATATATATACTGTACACATATATATGTATACTTTTTTTTTTTGTAATCAACATAATATTTGATACGTATATGCATAATGAACGTATATAGCTGATGTATCTATTGTTATCAATTTGATATTTACATTAATAAAGCGCTAGAAAAAAAACAACATATTTTAATTTGTAATATAATGAAGGCTTCGAAACTTGTTTCTTACTTACTTTCACATTTGGAAACATTCAAAAACGCCGCGCTTATGCTTTGGTAGCGCCATCTACGGGTATTTGGCATACAACTTCTGCAAGAGTCAACTCTGCGCGGTGGGGCGGTACGTCGATAGCAAAATATCGAGCATGATCAATGCTACAAATAATGACAGCACTTGTTTGTTTCTTTGATTGACAATCGAATATTTTTTACTTATTGTTTACATCACTTTTATATAATGTATCTTTCTTAGTTGTAATAACAACTTCAGCTACGTATGGTAGATTTTTTCAATGGAACTACACAAAAATTCCAGAATAGGCTTTTTGGCAGGTAGTTTCGCATGGCTATATGTAGGCCCAATCCACAACGATGGCTTTATGACATAGATTTGTAAATTTCAGAGGAACAAACCGCTTTATAGATTTCCAGTGCTCAATCCCATTTCAGATCCTCCAAATGCAATCTATGCAACAAATTCGGTATTCAATCCCAATTCCCAAAAAAAAAACTTCGTCGTTTTTTGTTTTGTTTTACATTTTTATTGTTTAATTTAAAAACTCTTTGTTTGGTTTTCACAATAGTTTTTTTTTTTAAAGATTGTTTCAAAACAAAAATAAAGAAGAAAAATATAGTTTATGTAATATATTTTTATCCTTTCTCTCTCACTTGTTTTTTTTCGTTCTTGTTGTTGTTTTTTTGTAATAATATTAATTAAAAATATTGTTTTTCTTTTTGTTTTTCTTTCGCAAGTTAATTTAAGAAACAATTAATCAAGTTCTTATTTAATTATACAAATTTAAAAAAAATAGTAATTATATAATAATAAAAATAATATTTATAACGGGGGAAAATGCAAATAGCTCTTCTTGTTGTTGTTGTTGATTTCTCATCTTGTTATTGTTGTTGTTGTTGTAGCTAGTGTAGTTGTTTCTCTCATTTTGATGCGCGCAAAGAAAATGGTTGGCGTGGGGGCGGGGCATTTGCGTTTCTTCTTTTTTTGTATGTAACAAAAAAGTTTGCGACCAATTGAAAATATTGTTAAGCTAAGCGAATAAGGGAAGGAAGGGATTTGTCAGCTTGATAGCTTGATTGATTGATTGATTGTGTGATTGTGTTCAACACTTGAATGTCAAAACCATTTTCATTTATTTTCCTTTAACTAATACTCTCCATAAATACACACATTTTATTTCCCGTCCTCCACTTCTTCTTCTTCTATACAAAAGGTCAAATAAAAAAAAATAATTAAACAAAATCTGCAAAAGTTCGGCCAGTTGGTCTGCATTGAATATTGAATAGTTGGCTATTGAGGAGTGATAAGTGGCGCGCTGCGTCGAATTTCATGGTGGTTAGATTGGCTTGGGATATAGGATATAGATAGTTCCATGTAGGGGAGGGGGGCGCATGGCGAGCGCTTTACATGTTCTCAAACTGATCGACGCGACGCTTTGTGTTGCCCTTGCGGATCTCGCGCAACGTCTTGTACTTGTCGCGTCCCTGACGCACATTTTCGCGATGAATCTTATCATTAGCCGTCTCTTTCGTTTCGTCGCGTGACTGCGCCAGGTCTTGCTTCAACGCCTGCAAAAGAGCGAGAGAGAAACAGAGTTAGAGAGAGAGAGGGAGATAGATAGCGAGCACAAGTAAATATATAAAGTATCGAGTCTACAAAAACAAGTTGAATATAACTAGATTTTCTATGATTTAGATCGATCACCTAAATGTTTAGTTGACTGAAATTGCAGTATGAATAGTTACTAAAGCCTCAACAAGTGACAAGTCTATGAAAATAAGTCTATATAAAACAATGTTCTTAAGTCTTAATTTCTACAAATATATATGATTCGATATATAGATTAAGCTATCAGATATTTCTGCTCAAGTCACTGCCATTAACATCTACTATATCACATCGAACAACAAGCTTTGTAAACATTGGGAACTTCGCCCACATTCCTTAAAATCTTATCTATAACATCTATCTTATATGACACATTAAATATTTTACTTTTATGTTCACATGTTCTCTAACAGATACTGTACTTTTGTTGGTTTTGCCACATAAGCCGAAACCGTTTTGCTTTGCCAATTATGCCAAAAAGTGTTGCTTAATAATAACTACATTATCTGATAAGATAAATGAGCATATTGTTTGTTGCGCCCACATAAACAAAAAGAAAACGCAAAAACGTTATCTGCATATTTTAAGAAAGTTATCTAAGGAGGTTATCTCCATTAGTGTGCGTAGAGTATTCCCTCTTTCTCTGATGTTTGCACGCACCTTAAGCTGATCGTGCAAGCGTTCATTGCGCTCGGCCAGCGTGCGTCTGTCCTCGATGGGATCCTTGATATGCTCGTCTGTGTCCAGGTCGCGTGACACATCGCCGCCGGCATCGCCATTCGTCAGCTCTTCCTCATTCTCGTTCTCATCTTCGGCCACGTGATGGTGTTGCGGCGTGGTTGATGCCGCCAACAGCGCAGCAGCAGCTTCGGCCTAAACGATTGAAAATAACACAAGAGAGATGAATAATGCCGATGGAGTTTAGTGGGAGACTGAATTAACCTGCTTGCGGCGTGCCTCTTCCACCTCGTCTTGAAGGCGTTTGGTCTCCTCGTCCTTGGCATTAACCTCGTCCTGAATGCGTTGCACCTCCTGTTGCTTGGCCATGATCTCCTCCTCCAGCTTGGCCTTCTCGACGGCCTCCATGTTCTTGGCCTCCTCCAAGCGCTGCAGCATAGATTGCAGCTCCTTTTGGCGCAGCTCAAGCTCGTCCTTGGCGGCCTGCAGCTGCTTCAGCTGCTCCTCCAATCGCCGAATCATCTCCTGTGCCTCAAGCAGATCGCGCTGCGAGCGCTCCATCTCCTCTTGCATTTGCTTGAGTCGATCCTCATACTCCTGCTGCTTCTTCTCGGCACGCTCACGTGCTGCCAGAGCCAGCTGCAGCTTCTCACTGCAGAACGAACAAGAGTATATATTATAGTATAGAGAGCAGACATTGCAAAAGGTGAATCGACTTACCGCTCCTGCTGTTTGGCATTCTTCTCTTCGCGCGCCTGCGCCTTCATCTGCTGCACATCGATCGTGTCGGGCTTGCGACGACGCATGTAGAGCTCATGGTTGCCCATGCAGAGGGCCAGGATGCGCTTGTTGATGCGAACGCGCGGCGCAAAGAACATAAAGTCCGGCGCCTTCTTATCAATTGGCTTGATAATGAACTTCTTCTCAGAGAACGAAATGTTGCGAATCTCGGACCAGGGGAAGCCAATTTTGGGCGTTAGTCGATCGTCCTGCTCGTAGATGTTAAGGCCGAGCGCATCGACGCCCAACCATAGGTCGGTGCCCTTCTTGTTGCGTATCTCGAAATAGTTAACGCCATACATTTCCAGATCCTGGGCAATCTTCAGATACTCCATCATGGCATCCTCGCGCAACATGCTGCGATGCTCCTGCCACCAGGTCATTATCGACTGCTCCCATTCGTCCTTGGACATCTTGTGCTGATCGATGACGCGCTGTGGCAACAAGCGATCGTTCGCTAGGAAACCGGCTGTGTGAGTGGTTTTATTGTGATCACCGTGACGCGCCTGCACCGCATAGGAGGCCAGCAGCACCGACGTCTCCGGCGGGCAGTAGATCTCATCGGTCAATATGGCATTCTTCACTTGCAGATAGAACAGGCGCAGTGTGATGTCCTGTATGAGCTCCTCGGCCACATCCTCCGGATAGAATTTGGCACGGAATCTGAATTGCAACGGATTCTCCTTTTTCACATCCTGATTCATCACCTAAACACGCGAATAACAACAACAATCCAATCAATATAAGAACAAATAAAGACAATTTCATCCTAATATTATTAAATATAATGTTTGCATATAATTTGGCACTTTATGGGTTACCCATGTGGAGAACGGCATTGATCCAGTCTGTTGTGCGTTTGTTTGTGCAATCGTTTCAAATGTGTGCAGCATGTTTCAATAGAGAATCAATCAGAGATCAATAATAATTATATATTCAGTTTGTATTCAGCTGGGGCAGGGATCGTAGTAGGCATGCAGGGTGACCTATAGACAGTCTACAGTCAACAATAGATTAAGGGATGTCAACTAAAGCCTTGAGCTCGTCTTAAGCTTAAGCTTTTAGTTCACAACTAGCAAAAGGATTATAACTAAGTTCAAATGCGGAAATAGAGGCCACAAATAGCAATAAATATTTGTTGGGGTTTCTTTGGCTTTCAGATGTCGCCCACCATATCGTCGGCATCATCATCTTCCTCGCTCTCATCCGTCTGATTGTGTCCATTGCTATCAGCGGTCTTTTTGTCCACATATTTCTTAACGCGTTTCAAATACTTAATGGTCTTTATGGCCGGCGATTCAGGCTAAACAATACAATACGTAACCTCATTAATATCTAAGCAAGTGATAATACTTGAAGAAACGAAAACTTAGCAATATATATTAACTTTACAAATAGATATATGTGTAATGCTTACCTTTTTGTATAGCTTAATCCATGTGGAGTCACCCTTTGAGTCAGTGTACTGCAGACCAAAGAACCAAACCTCACGCAATCCAATCGTCTTGACCACCTGATCGAACAGTTGCTTGCCGGTCGTTGTCGACTGAATGGCAAACTCCAGTTCGGCGTCCATTGTTGTGACGCGCACATTTAGCTGCAAAGAAAATTTACATAAATTAATGAGGGCTAAGAGATCGTATATAAGGCTACAAAAAAAGTTTCAATAACTGTTTAGATAAGTTGCTTAATACTCTCTTCTTCAAATTTCTGTTATCTATTGATATAAGGAATCGATACTTATCGATTTATTACTGTTAATTGCACAACTAGAAGCACTTATCAATTAAAAACTCTATTACTCATAGGCCAAATTTGAGTCTTTGCAGCTTTTTGTTGGCTAACATAATCTTTTTAATTTTTATAATGTTATCAATATTCTTGATGAGCTTGGCCAAGTATGCCTATGCTTTTCATATCGTAATTATAGTCCACATCGGAGTTCACGTGTTTGGTTCATGTGCTTTCTCTCCCCTTTCTATGGGTTTCACCTAGCTCTGCTGCGTTTTCCACTCTCCTCACCCACGTGCTGGCCGAGTTGGTCAAGTGACACACAAACACAAAAAGACTCTCTCTCTCTCTCTCTCGATGTTTTTATGAGCCCATGTGACTGGCTGCATGTCCGCTTGTATAACGTTGACTTTACTACACACACACACACACGCAGTCAATCCATTTACTATCTATGTCTGATGTTGCTGCTGTCATGCTTGATTGCTTCTTTTTTTCGCCGTTTTCCGAGCGTGATTTTCCTAGGCAGCTTTTCCTGGCCAGTCGTAATTAGCTGACACGTGCACTTCCCACATGTTTGGCGACTTTTACTCGTTTAATCCTCCTTTGTTTTTTGCCGCGCTCACATTTCCAACTGCAGTGCGTGCACCAATTCGCATTGACCGATCAATGGGCAATCGATTGATTGATTCGCGTGTTATCGATTTTGTTTCTTTGCTGAACGCATCAAATTATGTTCGTCTTCAGTTTCAATGCAATCACAGATCAAAATTAAAGGCGACAACAACTTATCAGCAGCTTGCCTATCGATCGCTTTCAATTCTGAGCTGTGCGTTAACTGTACATTAAAAGTTAACTGGTTCTAAAGCAATGCCAATAATATCTGTAAACAGATGCTGCATTGCAAACTGAATAAAAGATGAGACGTGCTTCCAGTCATAATTTTGTGAGTTTGTCAAGCTCATTAAATGCGATATCGATAGCGAAATAAATTGTTAAATGTTGAGGCATGTTTTTGTTTCCTTCAAACGCTTCCAATTCTAGGTGACTGTTCGCATTTGTTTTGCTACGAATTTTAGCATTTTTCTCCCTCTCTTTTTGCCACTTTGTCTCTTGGTTTTTCACTGGCTTTTGTCGCAATGCAAATCAAACGTGACACAATGCTAGGAAATTGAAAGCGTTCATTTCAATCCAATTAACGTTTTTGGGTTAATGCATGCTGCTGTTGTTGTTGCTGTTGCTGTTGCTGTTGTTGCTGTCATGAGTATGGTACGTGCATACAAGCATAACTCACTCATTGGCCCCACTGTGCATGCGAGTGTGGCAACGGAAACAGCGGCATAACCAACCAGTTGCTATCTCGGCTCTAACTCGATCTCGCCCTCTCTGTCTCACTCACTCTTTGTCCCTCCATCAACCTAGCTACTGCTGCCGCTGCTGCATGCATGACAAATTGCTCTCAGCTATGCCAAAAAGTTGGACTACGGCGTTACTTATAAATACATACAATATTTGTCTCTGGTCTTTTCTGTCGGGCCGGAAGCCATAAAAATGCATCACACAAATTCGAAGGAAAGAAAAAAACAAGACGAAAATAATTGCAAAAGTCGCATATTTGCTGTAAATGCAGCTCTGAATTATTCAATTAATTTCTCATATTTTATATAACAGCAAATTCCAATAGCATTTCTAGAGACAATATTACAAATTATATATATCAGACTCTAATGACATATTGACTGCACTATGATTAAAAACATGAATCAAAAGACTTTTTCCAATCACTAAATCAACTATGATTAAATCCCCTAAGAGATTGCACGGAAGTATAGTTTATTAAACAAGTTATCTATAAAATATATTTGTTATATTCTATTTCTAGATTTTAATTCTTGAACGCATGTTTTTCCGCAAGATAAGATATGACAATCTATAAAATATATATTTTTTAATACAAATAACTGCATCCACTCTACACTGAATAAGCGTATCAATTCCAGCTAAAGACACGTTTACATAGTCTAAAACCAGCTAAAGAATTCGCTTCAAGTGTTGAAGAACAAGTTTATCTTTCATTTATATGCTAATTTCGGGGCTTTTCATAATACAAAACTGTAAAGAGAAAAATGTGCTGTAGAACACAGAAAACAAAGTTCAGAGAGCAAACTGCTGACAAGCTATTATGATATATACATTCTGGTATATATATATTTATATCGTGTAAACAGTGAAAACTGCTGCAAATTAAAGTAAACATATTGAGCTAGTTACAAATTAAGAAAAGGCTGAGAATTTAAACTTAAAACTCTACGAATTGGAATATCCAGCAATTTCCATTAAAAACTCTGGAAGATTTCCAGGAATTTGCGCCAATTACATTGCCAGAAATTACAGGAATTTCAACGTACAAACTCTTAAATTAACCAAGAACTCAAATATAAAAAAGTTACTCTTACGAATTCCAGAAATTCGCTGTAATTAGGAATTTTAAAGGAAATTTAGAAGTTCGTATAAAAAACTAGCAATTATAATAACAAAAAAATATTCGTTAGAAATACAAAATCTTAAATTTTAATTTATTTTAACTACCCTAAAATTTATTTGTATTCAATACTTTATCAGGGAATTTAGAAACTCGAATAAGAAGAGACCTAAGAATAATTATTTTGAAAGCTTTTTCTTCTTGCCAACTCTTAAAATATTATAATTAATAGCCTATAATATAAATTTTCAGCCTTTTCACTATATAATACCCATAATATTTAATAGAGCCAACATTTAACTTTCAAATGATATTGTTCTTAGCAATAATTTAGAACTGAGTAGTATCCAATTAGTGAACGACAACTGTAGTTATTGGTAATCGTGTACAGCGAACAGTCAATACGCTCCCTCCCTCCCCTCCCCACTCCTTGCTGCACTTCCCAGCCCACCTCAAGGGTATTTCAAGGGGAAAGAAAAGCGAGCATGGAGAGCGCTTAACGCACCGTTTTACGCTTAACGCTGCCGCCATAGCGCGAGAGACGCGCTCGACTGCTGTCGGAGACGACGACCATTTTGGACGGCCAAGCGTTTTTCAGTAGCTTTTGAATAGTTACAAAGTTTTGGATGGCGCGTAATGCGCTCACACATATAGTACACACACACTCGAGTAGCTCGAAGAAAAAAAATAACAAAAAGCGAAATTGTAGAATTCTCAAAACACAATGCGCGTCGTTCTGTTGCCCAGCGTCAACTGAGGAAAATGGAAAAGCGACCGGAGGTTTTTAACTTAATGCAATGCAAAGTCGGCCAGGCCCATGCCCAGGTCCAATCGGGGTTGGGTCTTAGGTGAAGGTGGACATAGCGGGGGAGCACCCACGTCAAAGCTCAACAACTGTTCAATTTCAGACGGCAACAATGTGAGCCGGACGACAAATGCTAGATTTACATTTTCCCTCCATTTTCATTTTAGTTCTTTTGCAATTATATGTTAATTATGCAGCCAAAAATAGACAGCAAACTGACTTAACTGAGACATATGTATATAAATATATATAGATTTATATAGATATTTTTATAGACAGTTCGCTATGCTTTCTCTCTCTTTCCTCCCCTCGCTGGGCTCGCTTTGCTGACCAATGGACAGCAATCGCGTACGGAGTGGCCCGGCTTGGATAAACAAATCAACGTCAATCATACGACGCGTTGGCTGTCAGTTCTATTAGAGCTGCAATTAGCCAAGCCCATTAAGGTAAATACATCAAACACAAAACAATGAAGGGGCATATATTATATTTAGAGACCTATTATTTTCACAATTTTATTAGCATTGACGAATAATGCCTCACCAAATACTCATTCGAGCTTAAAACTTTGTCCACTATATTATGCCTGCAACTTGTAGCAGATGGAACAGCTACAAATTGGAAGAGAATTTGGGAAGTTCAGGAGGAAAACAGATATAATAATTTTTAGTAAGATTTCTCAATCTCTGTCTCCATCTCTCTCTCTCCTTTTGTGGAACTTTCCCAATCTTCCTTGATCATGTCTTTAGGGTTCCCTCAGTTTCTCTTAATGATTCTACCTCCCCAGCCCACTCACTCTATCTATCTCTTCTATCTCTCTGTCCTCACCTCTCTATCTCTAACACTCTCCTCATCTCTCTCGCTCTCCTCATCCATCTATTCAATATCTTACTTCTTTCTCCTCATCTGTTTCTCTCCTTACCTCTCCCCTTCTCGACATCGCTCCCCAGCTTATATTATATATATCAATGCTTATATATGGGAGACAAGAGCCCATATATATTTTATGAAACTACAATTTTAGATAGGTAAACGAAGGTGACACTGAGTTCGCTGATTGATTTATTGTCTGTCCTGTTCTATGTCAATCAAATTAAATGAAATCGAATCAAATCGAAGCAAATCAGTTTTCAGCTGTCAACTGATATCGACAGTCAGCGCCATCACAAGACGGCCAAGACAGACGCCAATTGGTCAAGTGGACATTGTGCTTGGCGCCGAGGGCCGAGGGGTAGACGTCTCTGCATTATGACGTCGTCCACAAATCTTGACGTCATCAGATTTTTACTGTACTTTTTGTACTTTTCTTTAAACTGTCTTTTTTTTAATATTTTTTATTTTGGCGCATTGCCAGAAGTGGCAAACAGACGTCAGACTTTTTGGCCAATTCGATGAGACTGCAGCTGACGATGACGTCTTTCTTATTTGTTCAGCTTCTGCTGTCAATCATTTATTGATAAGAAAGTACACACTTGTCGAAGACTGCTGTTGCTGTTGCTGCTGCTTCTTCTCTTCTTCTACCTTGTGCACCAGTATCTGTGGCCAAAGTTTTTGATAATCTATCAAAATTTACAAGCTTGTTTCGATTCGCATGCTATTTTGGTTTTCCTTTATCAGCTGCTACTGCTTCAAACACGAAATGAGTTTTTCATTAATTTGATTGCCCCTGATTGATTGCATAACGATTCAAATTCAATTTGATATCAAATGTGCATATCGTAAACGATTGCTGATAGCATTTTGTGAACACATGTACAATATATCCCAAATTTGTTTAGAGTAGCTTTTCGTGTCATATTTTAACTAATTTTGTTAAAAGGATTTCGCATTTTGTTTTCTGTTGAGCAGGTGGCAACGCTTTGAGAGTTTTAACTTTACTTTTGATTGATCTACAACTGATCTGAAGTTCCTTTTTTGTCTATAGTTATCTTCTTTCAAATTTAACTTTTGATTAATATAGAACTAATATTCTTATTTTATCGTTATTTATGGATACCAGCTTCATTTATCATTTCATTCCATATCCTTTTTACAAGCAAGTTGGCAACGTTGAAAATTTCTAGATGTTATTTAAAGGTCTTTTAACACATTTTCCCTTATGCCACACACAAAATTCCAAATGCATTCGCTAAATTGCATTAAGATTCGCATCGATGTGGCCAGGCTGTCACTTATTTATTACTTTCATTAACCAACACTAAGCCAGCTCCATATTTTGTAAGCAATATCACAACTGGTTTTACAGTTACACATTTAGACGTTCCATCTAAAATCATCTTCGATGTTATCACAATGTTGGCTTCACTTACCGATTTTGGCGACATTTTGCTGCTTGTCTATCCTCAGCCCGTTGTTGTTAGTGGAAATGTTAACAATTGGTTGGGGACGTCTGCGTTGGGATTGTTGCTTTCGTGTTTTGCTACTGGTTCAGACTGCAATGGGAATGGGTTGGAGAATAATTGAGAATTAATTTGGCGACAGAGGAAAAAACAATTAACAATAAAGAAAATTAAGTCGTATAAACTAGTTTGGGCAAATTGTGTAAAGCTGTTGGCCAGTTGCTTTCTGCACACGTCAAGCGACTGCAAATGGAGAGCTCACGATCATAATTCCTATATATAGGAACTGTTTTGTGCACACACATATGTTTAAATGTATATATATATATATATAGCACTTGGCTCGTTTCGTTATATCTGGTATATATCCGTTTATTTCCGATTTCACCTGGCACTTTGACAAACCGATTGCAGCAGCCTCTAAAGCGACTAGTTTTCATTTCATTTCATTTCGTTTTGTTTCTAATTAACAAATCGTGTGCACGAAAATTAACTCAGGGCAGGCTAAAGCGCGCGCTCGCGCACTTGAAAACTTTTGATAAGACTTTTTCAGCGGAAATGCAAAAAGTTTTAAAGCGAAGAACAAAAATGTTCCGATTACGACTGCGTATAAAGTTCTCCACTTATCGTCATAAAACACACAAATTGTTCTTTTTTCGTATTCTTTTAAATAATTTTATTAAGCTGAGGTTCCTTTTTATTGGCTGCGCGACCCAGCTGAGCCCGCCCTTGGACCCATTTACAGGAAACGCTGGAAACCATTTGAATTTGATTCGAAAAATCACTTAAAATGGTTATTAAATTGTGGTAGGTGTTGTTGTTGGTCGAGTGTAAAAACCTGTGTCATCATAATGAAAATTCAATTGACATTTTGACACCTGACATTTTGTAATAAGCTTTGAAACAAATTGTGACGTCAGGCGAGAGACGCCATCTTTATTTGATATACGTAGCTAATATGCTGTATCCACACACGCACACACGCACACACACACACTCACTATATGCTTTCTGAAACGGGCCTGAACAAACGGTTTCCGTCGAAATGCAAATTAATAATCATTAGCTGCAAAGGCAAAAGACATTCCAAAGTTTCGATTTTCAATGTTGTTGTTGTTGTTGTTGGGTTTGCACAAATTATGACATCATGCCGACTTTATTATCGCTTCTGCGTGAACTTCGAGTGTACACAAATACACACACACTACTATATCTACACACACACAGACATAGGAAGACTTAAACAAATACAAGTTATATTACACTATTTTAGTTGTAGATATTCATGAACCTTGTCGCGTCGTTTAGTTACACAAATATTTTTGCCATTCCCAATAGCTATTTATAAACAGGAATTCTCTATAATTTGATAAATGAGTGTTGGTAAATATTCAAATATCAGTTGCCATTGGAGCACGGTTCTCTTCTGCCGCTGGCACTTTAATCAAATTTTGTTGCTGCCTGCGCTTTGATAAGGAATTCAATTTCAGACACAGTAATTGCCAGTTGTAATAGAATGATAAAGCTTTAGGTAGTATCAGCATGACAGTGTTGGTAAGCATTTATGATTTACAGTTACCACCAACTCTATCGAATCTATGCATGTGCATAGAGAGTATCGCTCTATCGTTAGCCTCACTTTACAGTTGCTTCTTTTTCCCTTTATATTTTTGTTAAATATTATTTATTTGCCTTCAAGTCAAAGGGGGCCAAACAATAAATTTTGAAATGAGCTCATATTATTTTTTTATCTTAATTTTTTTTTACCATCTGTAAATAAGCAGAAAGCGACAAATTCTTTCAGCTTGAATCAAGTGTTGAGGGCCAAAACGTGGCGTCTATTAGAAGATGAATCATTCGAATGCTAAAAAAGCATACACACACACACACATACGCAGTCAAGCCGTTAGCAATGCATCCTGCCTTCAATCAACGTATGCGTCATTTCCCACTTCAGTTGATTGCTATTTGATTTTACTTTATTACGCTTTTGCCTAATCTGAGACTGTGATTTCTTCTTTCGCATAAGTCGGAATAAGAGTGAGAGTGAGTGCGAGCGCGAGAGTGAGAGGGAGAGGAAGACAGGCTAGGGCTGAGGCCCGCTTGCTTTTAAGTTAACCGACAGCGACGGAAATGAAAATGATTTAGCTAAAATGCGAAGTTATATTGGTTTAAGCAACGCACAATAGTCGGCTTAAGTTATCGATAGCGCTGCGTTGGCTCATAACTGAATTGTCCAGCTGAGGCTATGCATAGTTATGTGTTATGCACACGTTTACATAATCCCGGGGATAGGGGTTAACCCACGCGCAACATTTGCTCATTGTTTTGTTTATGTTTAATATCCATTAACTGCATTTAATGAGTTCAAGCTAAAAGCAGCGGGGCAAAAATCACGTTTTCGTTTACGTTCAGTGCTTGACCACCGGAACCGCAAGAGAAAAGCATACAGGCACACGCGCACACACACACACACACACACACACACACACACACACACACACACTCACTCACACACACACACACACACACACACACACACACACACACACACACACACACACACACACACACAGAAGCCCGAGCATACACAGGCAAATGAGCACGCAGCTAATGCGATTTTGAGCGCTGAGCGACGCACGCAAAGAGAGCGATATAAGAGAGCAAGACAAAGCGACGCGTCGCGGCGAATATCTCGCATTGCGTATGCGCAACGCAATGGAAGCCAAATAACTACACAAAAGCGAAATGACAACAAGAAAAACAACAACAGCAACAGCAGCCGCAGCAGCGTGTGCCGTCATTTTTTTGCCATTCGCTTTTACTTTTCATTTACATTTGGTGTCGTAAAACAAGCATAAAAATAATAAAAATAAATAATCATCAAATAAATAGCCAAAACAATTTCTGCGCCAAACTTTTAATTTCAACAATTATGCGTCTTTTCGTGCCGCGTTGATTTAGCGTAAATCCCTATCGCACGCTCTTTCTTCATCTTTCTTTTGTCTGTGTGGTCAATAATTTTTTTTTTTTTTTTTTTTTTTTTTTTTTTTTTTTTTTCGTTTTTATTTCTTTATTTTGTTGCAGCTTATTGTCTTAGACTCTATAGCGCATTTAGCTCTAAACCTTAACTAATGGGAGGGCAGATATGCCAATTATTCTGCACTTGTAGCTACTATCTTAATTAGTTCTAATATTGTCTAGAGGATGCAATCTCTTCAGTCTTCGCCTATTGTTGTTTATAGCCAGGTTGCTTGCGAGATGGTTAGGATGCGCTGCAAGTCTGTCCGCGTATCTTGAACTGTGTCGCCCAATGAGTTCAGCAACTGTGGGAATTGCTAAATCCCTATGTAAGACTGAGTTTCTTACAAACCAGCTGGCTCCAGTCCATCTGCGTAGTGCTTTATTCTGCAGGGTCTGAATTTTGTTCCTTGTAGTCTTCGCCGAGGAGCCCCATAGAGAGATACCATATACGAAGGTTGGGACAACTATTGCCTTGTAGATGGCGGCCTTGCTGCTGTAAGACAACTTGCTTGAAGCTCTCAGCATCCAGTCGAGGGTTTTTAGCTTGCTTTTGCATTTTGAGGTTACTTGACTTATGTGCGCTTTAAAAGTCAGCCTTCTGTCAAGAGTGATACCAAGGTACTTTACTTTTGAGGCTTTGGGAATAGTGGGCCCCAATGCAACGCTTGGGCAATCTCCTCTTCTAGTGGCGAAGGTAGTATGTACAGACTTTTGTGCATTAATGGTGATACACCACCGTTTTGCCCAGCGTCCGAAAGAGTCCAGATATTTTTGTAGTGAGTCTGAAGCTTCTTGCGCAGATACGTGACGTGATAAGATGGCGGTGTCATCTGCATAGGTCGCTATGAGTACTGCATCTGTACTTCCTATATTTGGCTCGGGAGTTGGCATATCTCCTGTGAATAAAGTATAAAGTGTTGGGCCTAGAACACTACCCTGTGGTACTCCAGCCATAATTGGTCTAGTCAAGGATACTGTTTGCCCCCTTGACACTTGGAAGGTTCTTCCAATAAGGTATGAGGATAGCAACGCGAAAAATGGGGCTGGAAGGGTGGTCCTCACTTTCTGCAGCAGTCCCAGGTGCCAAACTCGATCAAACGCCTGTTTGATGTCTAAAAAGACGGCAGAGCAGTACATCTTTTCTTCAAAGGCTCCAAGGATATGGTGCACAACTCTGTGAACCTGTTCCGGTGTTCCATGCTGTCTCCTGAAGCCAAACTGATGGTTTGGAATGGCCTCCTGGCGTCCCAGATGTGTCAGTACTCGTTCCAGAAATATTCTTTCGAATATTTTGGAGAGTACTGGCAACAGGCTAATTGGTCTGTACGACTCAATTTCTCCCACGGGTTTGCCAGGCTTAGGAATCATCACAATCACGGCGCGCTTCCAGCAGGCTGGAAAGTGCCGGATGCGGAGCATGGCGTTGTACACCATAGTTATGTAGTCTATGGTGGAGTCAGGCAGTGCTCTAAGGACTCTGCCGTTTATTAGATCATATCCAGGGGATTTTTTTGCCTTCACTCTTCTGATGTGTTCAAGAACCTCTTCTTTTGTACATCCAGTTATCTGGTCTTCAGCTGGGAGGGGCGAGAGAACGATGTCTTCTGTTGCTTCGATTTCTGAGGCCTCTGCGGTAATCACCGGCGTGAATTGGTCTTGAAGGTGGTTTGCAAAAGCCTCAGCTTGAGCTTCGTCTCCAATGTGCCAGGAACCAGAAATGCTCCGAATGGGATGACGTCGTATTGGCTGCCGTTTGAGCTTTCTTGTAAATTTCCATAATTGAAACTCTGCGTCAGTGGGCGATTCAGCTCGTACCAGCGCATCGCTGATACACCTCTTTTGAAGCAGGGCGAGAGCAGCTTTAAGATGCCTCGTGGCTTCGTTGTACATGGATTTGGCATCAGGCGTGCGTAATCTTAACCAGCGTCTCCTGGCCCATCTTTTGTGTATTAGTAGGTGTTGGGCCTCCAAGGTGAGGGGGATGTTGTACGGAGACTGTTGTCTTGTTTGGCAAGATGGTGGGGCGGCTTGGTGCGCAGCTTTGACTATTTCTTCCTGCAGTTTGTTTG